CGATAGTCCGGCCCCAGCCGGCCACACTGCACACGGTCTCGGGCTGCACCCTTCCAGTGCTTTCAGGCAGGGCGATGGTCTTCACAAATTTGTTCCGCTTTGCAGCCTTCGCCAGCTGTGACATAGGAAAGATGAAGATAAACATGAGGGTCGCGCTAACGGGAAAAGAAATAGACGTCATCCCAGTAAAACAAAGAATTTTGTTTCTGGGACATACTGATGGGTAAAAGACCATACTGGGGATGGGCATGGGATGGGGGCGGTACCTGCAGCAGTGTGAGGTCACTGGGGGCGGGGCTATGGAAGAGGGGCGGTACCTGCAGCAGCATGATGTCATTTTTTAAGGTCTTCTGGTTGAACTCTGGGTGGGGGATCTGCCGGCGCACGGGGATCACTTGCTGGCTGTCTTCTTCCTCACTGACGTCGTGGGCTCCCAGGAGGACGGTGATCTCTCTGTGAAAGCCGAGAGCCGCCCATGAGGCCTGGGGGGCAGGTGCCTGCTGGTGCTGGAGGGCAGGCGCATGTGGGGCTGAGCCCTGAGCACTGACCTTGATGCACCAGGGCAGCCTGGGGCTCTGAGGGCAGGATCCTGGGCTTAGGGGCTTCTCTCCTGGGTCCCCGCTCCCCTGCACTCTGCTGATCCTTCCCAGCTCGATGCACACCGGGGTCCATGCCCAGCCCCCCAGCCCAGTGCCCTGCAGAGCTGCCCTGGGGCTGGGATCCCTCCTTGCCCTTCCCTGCCTGTAGCCCCATTGATTTCCCCAGTGCTGGGGCTGAGCTGTGGGTTGAGGGGCCCTAGAGACTTGGCGACACCCCCTGATCAGGTCAGACTCCCGGGCTCTGCTCCCCCAGCCTGGCCACCCGCTGCCCCTCACCTGTCCCCCACACTAGCACCAGAGCACTCGGCTGCCCCGTCCCCTACCCGCCCCCACGTCCCAGCCCAGAGGCACTTACTCTCCCCAGCAGTGAGCGGCCGTCAGCACAAAGTCCTCCGCCACCAGGAACCCACCGCAGCGAAAACTCTTCTCTCCCCGGTGTATTTCCAGAAAGGCCATGTAGGGCCTGGAGTGCGGCTCGGCTTCATGCCCCCCGATGATCTCACCTGGGGGGAGACCAGGGCCGTACATAGAGTCTCCTGAATTTGCCGTGCTGGGCTCGGCCCGACTTCCTCATTGCAAAATGGAGCATCCACAGCCCCACCCTACCCCTTGATGCTCTCCCTGAGGGATCCCTGTGCCTGGATGCAGGCCCCCTGCTCAGCTCTGCCCCACACCGCGGCCCCCATGGGGCTGGAGGGGAAATCAAAAGCTCTGATCTCTCCGTGGCAGGAACTGGCGCCAGATGTACGAGCAGTGGGTGAGTCACCGCCCGGACTTTCCACAATGCCATAGGTGGCCTAGGTCGAACCCGAGCAGTCCTGGCAATCCCCAGACAGAGACGGGCTGGTTCCAGGGGTGGGGAATGGGACCTAGAGTCTTTCCCTCTGGGTGCAGCTCAGAGCTGCTGTCACTGACCATGGGGATCTTTTTCTTTTTTTCCTCCAACTTTTCCTCCTCTGCACAGCAGCCGACACTGAGGTTATCAGTGCTTGGTAAGACAAATCCCCCCTCCTCTGTCACAGACATCACTGCTGAACAGGACAGAGATACATTTTCACCTCTGCCTGGAGAGATCTTTCCCACCCCTTTCCTGCAAATTTTCTTGTTCTATTTATCTTCCCTCAGGATCCCTCCCTCAATCTCTTGCTGCTGCCTTTGTGCGTCCGGTGTTGTGAATGCAGGAGGTAAACAGACGGAGATTATTTACGCAGTCTCCTTCCACCATTTGTAATTGTTTCTCTTCTTTTTAAATTATCTCCTGCTGGGGCTTAGGAGACCAAAGATGGTTACTCATAATACCCATTTTTCACCCAGGTCCTACATCCTGCCTCAGAATGGGAAAGTTAACTGACGAAGAGCCATTTTATTTTGTTGACACCTGGTTGAAGCATCGGTTTTGTCTCTGGGGAACTGATTTGTGGTGGCTCCACACACTTGAAACTCGTATGAGTAACATCCTGCAGTATAATCTTCTCACTTTACCTGCCACAGATATTTTCTCAGGACAATAATGGTCAGCAAATTATGAGTTTTCGGGTGATACTTCACAAGGCACATTTGGAATAAAATGGATCATAACCCTGTTGCAGTGGGGAAAAAAGGGGACCAATCTGCCATAGGCCTTGATGTAACATTGATAGAACCCAATCCGTGAGAACCTGCATTCACCCCAAAGTTCCAGGATCCCAAACCCAGCTGTACTCACCAGCCGAAGTCCCAGGCAGCAGCAGAAAGGCCATGGGGAGCAGAAACAAGATGGGAACTTGCATGTTTGCAGTCAGTGCTGGGCAGTGCCTCTGCTGCAGACCTGCAGGGCTTTTATAGACTCCGCCAGTGGGGAATTCAAGGGGGCAGGAAACTGCAAAGTCACCCACACGCTCATCTAACTGCAGGGCTCAGGTGTCTGTTTCCAACCACAGCCAACCACATGGGCTGGGGGGAAGGATAGAACATGAGTCAGTCCAGTAGCTGGGTCCCTGCACAGCCGGCCAGACGATGCACCACTGGATGGAGATGTGTGGCAGACCCAGCTTGGCGATCCCCTCCATTTCGCCATGCCTCCGCTCTCACCACTAGACCACACTCCCTTCCCAGAGCTGGGGAGAGAGACTGAGCGTCCTGGCTTGCAGACAACACATGGCTGTTAGGGAGAGCCCCCGCACCACAGCCCTCCCAGGGCTGGAGACAGTTTGTGCCAACCAGTGAGATACTTCCCGAGCCCCTCCGGTCTGAGCCCCGACAAACTCACTGCACCCAAGGCCCCTCTGCCCTGGGATTCAGCCCTGCCAGGTGTGGGGACAGGGGTCTACTGAAAGTTGGCAGCTCCTCAAGCCGTGTGCTCCCTGTGAGACGTGAGTGCAGGGGCTGGTTCAGGGAGAACGTCTCTAGCCTGATCTACAGCGTATGTGCTTGGCAGGACCATCCGGGGAATTTCTCGGCCCGGGGCCGGCCCGTTCATGAAGGAGGGAGCCGTCGGTGCTCCCTGCTAGCCAGGAAGATGTGTCCTGTGACAGATCCCCCCTCCCCGTGCTTTCTGAAATGGACTTCTGGACACAAATGTGCATAACTCGGAGATACTTGGGAACAAAACTGTCCCACGTAACTGATCGATCTCCATGGCGTAATCCCCTGGCTCCGTGTCTGTTGCGTTGCTGTGTGGGTCACCCTTGTGTGGGAGGCTAGGGCTACGGCGTGGGGAAAGCTTCGTGGTTTCACAAGCGCCAAGGGCTTTGTGGATCACCCTTGTGTGGGAGGCTAGGGCTACGGCATGGGGAAAGCTTCGTGGTTTCACAAGCGCCAAGGGAAGCCAGCCAGGGTGTTACCCTCAAGCTCTGGTCCTCTGTCCACAGCCCCTTTTACCGCCGTGGTGCTTGGTGCTAGGAAACCACCTCGCCTCCCCAGCGAGTAGTCACTAGCCACGGAAGGGTGGAAGCTAGAAACACAATTCCCGCCCCAAAGGTGGAGTCTCTAAACCAGCGTTTCTTAAACTGTGTTCTGTGGTAGACCCGTGTGCCGTCAGGCAGTCGGAGGTGTGCCGCGGAGAACAGCAGAGTGAAAAATGGCTGCCCTTAAAGAGGCAGGCAAACCTTTTTCTTTTTTTTTTGGTAAATTATTTTCCCCCGCATCTCCCCCCATTTTTTGTCAATAACTCCCACCGCCTTTTTTTTTACTCAACAAAATATCCTTGGTGATCCTCATAAAAATAATTATTTTGCTAAGAAACACTGCTATAAACCAATGGGAAGTGGGCAGTCTCACTGTCTTTGGCTGGGGCGACACACGGAAGAAAGGGAGCCAGAGACCCTAGGGGGAGGGACGGCCCTGGTTTGCAGGCTGAGCTGGAACAGGAAAAGTGTTCGGGTGAGTTTATAAGACGTTTGCACGGAGGTGTCAGTGTCAGAGTCAGCAAAGTGTTTCCTGTTCTTTTAAATATTCTTTTCTATTTTGCTCTGCCCGTTTTCACTTCTAACCACTACAATCCGGCTGCGTGTACTTAATAAATCACTTTTCTTGACTCTGAAACCCCGCCTAAATGATTGTTGCGTGGGAGCAACCAGTGTGCTCATTCGCCCTGTCCTTGCTAAAGGAGACTACCCCAAATAATTACTTTGGGGTTTGATCCCACGTGGGGAGTGGTATCCCGGGAAGCTGCATTTTTCTCAGACCTGAAGTGGTTCAGTGTCTGTGCTGCTTCTCGGGGGAGCAGGGATCTCGGCTGGGCCTTGGCTGCGGGAGACCAGGAGATCAGGCCCAGTAGGACCGGGCGGTGAGAAGACCCAAAGTGAGTGCTGGTGGGAAGAACCCCAAGAGCTTTTCTGTGATCCCCTGCACCCCATCACATGTCCCTGGCAAGCCTAGGCAGCTGGAATTGACTAAATTAACCAACTCAGAGCCAGAGGCCAGGATGTTCAGTTGCGTGTTTATTTCACTCAAGCTCGGCACGGTCTGACAAAACCCCCTTGACTATTCAAACTCTGTGATGCATGCAAGGTGCTGCCTGAGTTAACCTCACACATCATGTCTGTGTTCCAGGCTGCATAGAAACAGGTGAGTTTTGCTACGTAACGGCGATGGATGGGAGGAGCGCTGTCCTTTTCTAAACATCCCACCGCTGCCACCACCTCCAGGCTGTTCCCCACTCTGGCACTCCGCGTGCAGAAGCTGGGGGCCCACAAGAGACCTTACAAAAACCTTGCCTCTAAAGGCTTTTAAAACCACCCCAGAGTCTCCAAGTCCCTGGTCTTGGGAGAGAGGACGACGTCACCCAAGTAAAAAAACCTTCCTCCGACTCAATGGGAATATCAAAGCCAGGGGAAATTGGTTGTGTAGTGTGTTATCCAGTTAATATCCTTATTCAAGCCCAGGTAGACAGTGCCAAATTTGCAGAGGAATCTCAGGTCTGCCGTCACTCTGCCTTCGGGAGGAAGAACAGCTACTTTTAAATCCAGGATTGCGTGTCCATCTGGGTTAAAATTTCCCTTACAGGTTTATGTGTGCTATTAGAGATTGGCTTTGTTTGCTATGTGGCCCCAAGTCAAACTCCTTATGGAATTATAAGTACACACCCGCAACACGGGTCTCAGCCAAGATTGCAGTCTGACCCAAAGGAACCAGGTGGGTGAGAAGTTATCTTTTACTGGACACAGTGCTTTTTTTGTGACAGTACTGCCCAGTACGCAGTACCGGCATGTCCAGGAGCAGAACCGGCACCTCCAGTCAGAACTTCCCTGCAAAGAATGGCGCGTATCGGTACGCAAATGTCCGACAGTCAGCTGGCTGTGTCTCTTAAAGGGGTAGCGTCTCTTAAAAGGGCAATGCTGGCCTCACCCGGTCTTTTTTTTTTCCTCAACAACTTTTCCCCTTTTATTTATTTGCAAAAAAAGCACTGCCTGGACCAATCAGCAGATTATGAGTTTTCTGAAGATTCCTCACAAGGCTCGCTTTGCATAAAATGTATCCTAGTCCTGTGCAAGGAGTGAACACAGGGGTACAGATGGCGACAAGCTCCCCGATACCATCCACTGAACTCCTCAGAGCTTCCCATGTACCCCAGACCTCTAGGGAGCTCTAGCAAGTCAGACTGAGCGGCCTGAGCTCCGGGGGTGGGGGTAGGAAGAAGGCTGCAGGAAGCAGGATCAAGATCTGGATCGGGATCTGCACATTCGGGGGCAATGCAGGGAGGCTGCATCCGTCTCGGGCTTGAGGGGTTTATACACTCAACTGGGAGGGGATCAGTGGGGCAGGAAACTGCAGGAAACTCAGCTCTATGCAAGGCTCACGCACCTCAGTTTCCAACCTCAGCGAACCACACAGGCAGGGGAAAGGAGAGACCATGAAGGGGATGTAGACGCCTCTGGGACACCCGATAACTGGGAGCTGTGACCGGGCAGTGCTATGGGCAAATGACACATTGGAGCTGGAAAGAAAACCCAGGTGTTTTGGCTTCCAGCACCCTCCCTGCCTTTCCCCGGGCTCCAAAACTTGCCTCAAAAGGTTTGGTTCAAAAACTTCCCCCCAAAATACTAATACCCGGCTTTTGGGGACCCGTTGGCACCACCCAAGTGATCCCAATAAAATCAGGGAAGCAATGGCTTGGGAAATCCCTCCCAAAGGCAAAGTTCTCCCTCTTTCCCCAACCTCCGTTCTGCTTTGAGTTGGGAAAACAAAGCGGCTACATCTAGACTGGCATGATTTTGCGTAAATACGTTTAACGGAAAAGTTTTTCCGTTAAAAGTATTGGCGCAAAAGCGCGTCTCGATTGGCATGGATGCTTTTGCGCTTTTGCCAATCTAGACGCGCTTTTGCGCAAAAAAGCCCCAATCGCCATTTTAGCTACCGCGTTGTCTACACTGGCCCTCTTGCGTAAAAGCATTTGCGCAAGAGGGCTTTTGGCTGAATGGGAGAGTCATTGTATTTGTGCGAGAACACTGGCGATCATACATTAGATCGTCAGTGTTCTTGAGCAAATTCAAGCGGCCAGTGTAGACGGCTGGCAAGTTTTTGCGCAAAAGCACTTGCTTTTACGCAAAAACTTGCCAGTCTAGACACAGCCAGGGAGTCCACAGACAAGAATGGACTTGAGGGTGGACTTCACCACCATTAGGCGGGTGGAGAGGCACTGAGATGGGTTCCTGAGGAAAGTAGTGGAGTCTCCATCCCTAGAGGTGTTTAAATCCTGACTTGACAAATCCCTGGCCGGGTTGATTTAGTTGGGATTGATTGGGCTGGACTTGATGACCTTCTGAGGTCTCTTCCAGCTCTATGGTTCTATGACTCTGTCCTAGTAACTAGGCCCTGAGTCCTAAGGACACAAGAAGCAACCAATCCCGGGTAATTAAAAAAAAAAGAAACAATCTTTTATTATCAAAACAAAACGACAGCTGCAAGCATCGTAAATTGGCTAGATGGAAAGAGCCACCATTTGATACGAATACTTGGGAGGAAAATCCCTCTGGGCTATAAGGCTTAGTTATAAAAGAGAAAAAACAATTAGCCAGCTCAGACATGCTTTCCAACCCGCAAACAAGGAAACCAAAAAACCCTGATGAACTAGCTACATTTTTCCCAGCTTACACATTGCAAGAAGTCTGTTCTCTCATCCCCCTCAATAGCTGGGGGGAAACGATCTGATCTCAAACAAAGACGCGAGAGAAAAACCCCTTTTCCAGTTTGAATTTCCTATCTGCATTGTTATTGGCTGATTGCCCAACACCTTGGCTAGGTACGTGAATGAAACCCCTTAGTCACCAGGGGATCACCACTCCCGATTATGATAAACCCCCTTTCAGAACTGGGGTTTCTGAGGGTCCCAGCTGGACAAGGGATGAGCGATTACTGAGTTTGCATGTGTCCGTACATCAAAAAAACCCAATTTTCTTCTATGAAATGGAAGGTGGGAACATAAGACTTGCTTTGTACATTGTCCCCCATCAGCATCCTTCTTAACGGGGCCCACTCAAACTTTCCCCTGCCCGTCACGACAGGTTTCCAGAGTTCCAACTCCTTCCGAGACGTTGGATGCAAATCCTCGGCTGCCTTGTAAAAGTCCTGCCCCTTAATTTCTCCTCCCTCAACCACAGACTGCAGCAGACTCTCTATGGCTGTGTCTAGCGACAAAGATGGCAAATGAAATTTAATGTAAATAAATGTAAAGTACTACACATTGGAAAAAATAACCCTAACTATACATACAATATGATGGAGGCTAATTTAGCTACAACTAATCTGGAAAGAGAGCTTTGAAGTTATCATGGATAGTTCTCTGGAAACATCCATGCAGTGTACAGCGGCAGTCAAAAAAGAAATAGGATGTTAGGAATTATTAAAAAGGGATAGAAAATAAGACAAAGAATATCTTACTACCCCTATATAAAATCATGGTACGGCCACATCTTGAATACCGCGTATAGATGTGGTCTCCTCACCTCAAAAGAGATATTTTGGCATTAGAAAAGGTTCAGAAAAGGCAATTAAAATGATTAGGGGTTTGGAACAGGTCCTATATGAGGAGAGGTTAAAGCGACTGGGACTTTCAGTTTAGAAAAGAGGAGACTGAGGGGGGATATGATAGAGATCTATAAAATCATGAGTGGTGTGGAGAGGGTGAATAAAGAAAAGTTATTTACTTGTTCCCATAATATAGGAACTGGAGGACACCAAATGAAACGAATGGGCAGCAGGTTTAAAACAAATAAAATAAAGTTCTCCTTCACACAGTGCAC